TATGGTGACGAGGATGAACTTGGTGCAGAACAGGAAGAGCGTCGCAGGAGAACTCTGCTAAACAAAGAATTTAAAGCTTTTTCAGAAAAAATTGCGGAAGCGGTAAGTGCTTAACGTAGACTATCGGTACAATGCACTCTAATAAAGTCTCACTTAACATTTATTATATTTACTTCAGAGTGAAGGGAGCATTGACGTAGATATTCCTTTTAGAGATATTGGTTTTCAAGGCGTACCTTTTAGAACAAATGTGTTACTACAGCCCACAACGGAATGTCTAGTACATTTAACCGACTCACCGTTTTTGGTAATACCTATTAGCGACATAGAAATTGCGCATTTAGAGCGTGTTCAGGTTGTTTAGTGTACATTCGGTTATTGTATCCAAACTCCTATGGAAATACTGACTGTTTGCCGTATTTACTTTAGTTTGGCCTGAAAAATTTCGATCTTGTGTTTATTTTCAAAGATTATTCTCGACCGCCAGTTCACATTAACACCATTCCAATGAACCAACTAGAAAATGTCAAAGACTGGCTAGAGTATTATATCTTATTATTTCTGCATTATAAGTTTCCCCAACAAATTCTATATTAAACTTAATTTCACGGCAATCTTTATTAGTTCAGTGGACGTAACCTTCTATGAGGGTACTCAGAATTTAAATTGGTCCCAAATCATGAAGACTATTAATCAAGATCCTGCCGACTTTTATGCACAAGGTGGATGGTCGTTTTTGAAACTGCACAGTGAGGTAATTTAGCAAATCACCTTGAATAGCGATGTTATATGCTCAATCGCCTACTTTAACGACCGATTTTTGTTCTTTCAGAATGAAGATTCAGATGGTTCATCTGATTCAGCGAGTGAGTATCAACAGAGTGAAGATGGTTATGAAGAATCTTCGGTAAGCTTCTTTTAACCTTACGAAAAGAAATCTACATTATTATTTTTATTAACAAGACATCATGTAATAAGAGCGATGAAAGCAGCTATGATGAAGAAGCATCTGATGATAGTGATCCTGGTTCTGAGACAGAAGAGAGTGATGAAACCGCACCAGATTGGGATGAATTAGAGGAAAAAGCGCGTAGAGGTATTGTGTTAATTTCGAATGTATTCAATTTAGCACCAAGCGTCCTGTTAACAGTATTTTGCTTAAGCTGACGAACGAAAACATGGAACAAAGCGTGGGAATGCATCGGACGAAGAACCCAGCAGGAACAAAAAGCTTCGCCGTTAGGGCGATCATAAAAAACGCAGAGGATTGGTGGTGTCAAATATCGAACCACATGAATCGTTCCACTTGATTATGAGGGAATTAATAATCATCAGAGGGACCCAATAATGAACTGACAAACTAATTTCCTTTGCCAGTCTTAACAATGTTTTTAATCATAATCTTCATTACATTTAAAATAAAATAACTGGAATAAGAATCGAATAAAAACTTATAAATGTATTGTTATGTGATAGTAAAAATGAGTTAATTTTTATCTTTCGAAAATGTTTAATGATCTCATTAGCTTAAACCGAGTGTAAAGTATATCTATGAATAACAATAATCTACATAAAATTAGTTTTATTAATGTAAAATGCAATGATATTAATTTTATTTAAGTTTTAAAAATAAATATCTTTATTTATATACAGTGTGTTGCAAAACTTTTTGGAATTTTTTTTAAAATCTTAATATTTTATTAATTAGCATATTAAATAAAAAATATTATTATTATATTTTTATTTTTACTCAAACAGAATACATTAATACAATTTTGTATTATCACTTAACATTCTTATAAGCTACAGCATAACCCATTAATAAGTTTAATAAATTTAGATATGATTCTTGAATCCTTAATATCAAGACCACTGTGTATTTTGTCCTGAAGTATTAGAATCAATGTATCCGTAAACTCGTAGCCTAGTAGCCATTGCTTATAGAAACTTTTTGTAAGCTTTTCATGAAGCGTTTTGGTCATTAAATTGAGGTTTCCACCTACTAAGATTTACCTGAAGCGCCGTTGATTTCTGATAGGGATTCTCTTCTGAGATATCTCCAACTATTACGAGGATAGCGTGTACACCCTGAAAAGGATCGTCGGCCGTGCTTTTACCTGACGAAGCCTGAAGTAGAACTTTACGCGTAAGAAGCGGTTTACTCGTTTGAGGATCGCCAGTTTTATTAACTGACAATATTCGATTAAATTTGAAACTTTTTTTAAAAACGTGAAATCTTGCGCAAATTCACCTTCCATATAGAAAGAAAATGCTTCGCGCGCTTATGAAAAATCTTGGCATCAAGGGATGTTTCAGTTTTGTCTTCCGGCATTGTGGAAATCAGGTGCGGTTATAGGATTTATGAAATACGCATTAATACGTGATACTCATACGTCCTTTTTATCTTGTGTTATTATCACGTGGTTGTTAGGGTGGATACACCAACTTTGAATTCGCGATAATGAATATCTCAAGATCGAAAATTCATATACTATCGCGTTCGACTTCAATACAATATCGAAATAATATTTATTTTTTTCAGAAATTTTTTATTATGAGATTTGTTAACATCTAGAAACTTAAATATTTTTTAAAGTTGTTTTTAATATATATTTGTTGTTACAATTATAAAGGTAAAATTTATATATTTAATTAGAATTACAATATACTGTATATCCTGTCAAATGGTACCAAATGGTTATAAATACCTATTCAGTGCTAAAAGGAAAAAGATTAGAATAATTGTGAATTAATTTTATAATATATTTAAAAAAGTTATAATTGTTTTGGATAAAGATTTCTATAACTCGAAAGAATAAATTGATAGTTGTCGTTTCTTGTAGTGTGAATGATATAGGAGATTTGTGTAAGTCTGGTTTGGAGATTGCTTGGTTATTTCTACTTGTGATAGTAGGAGACTTTTCTTTTTATTTTATTTCATTTGTTGAATAAGTATTGGTAGTAATATATTATGGTTTCCAAATAGTATTATATAATTGTATTAAAGCTTCAATTAATGCTTTGATCCAATTATTAAAGTCTAATATAGAGAAAATATTGTTGATAATGCTGTAAGCTAGTTTAATTATTTGTTATAAATAAGTTATTAATTTTGAATTATTATTTGTTTTTTGGGGGGTTTCCCCAGTAGGTAAACATCATTTCTTTATTTGTTATTATATATTGTAGATATATATAAGGCTCCTAACAATACCACTTCGATACCAGTTCAATACTTAAATTTACTATAAAAACATATGAGTAGATCACAACCCATATATTAAATTTACTATAGAT